ATATTAAGAATAACTATTTACTAGAAATTGTAAGCAAAAAAATCCGTCAAAATTAATTGCATGCTATATTGGGAAAAATTTTGAATTTTTTAAACCATAAAACCGGTTAGCATTAAATGTCCTATAAATTTATGGGTTTTGTTGAATTCGTTTCTGAAAATTTAGACAGATATTGAAGTGAATTTGAAATTCAAAACCCCTTCTCATTTTATTTTCAAAAAAATTGGACTGCATCCAAATTTAAGTTTGGTTTTGAAGTGAAAATTTGAAAGTCATCTCATTTAGTTACAAAATCGGGTTGCATTTTCAAAAAGTTTTTTATTATTTAAATTGTAAAAAAATAATAATACATATAATTTTATAACAATTCTATTACACTATTTACAAGTATTCCTTTTTATTATATAAAAAATGTAATTGATTTATAAGTAATATGTAGACAAACATTTAATATATATGCAACAAAAAAATTTGATTTTTATTATTTAATGTGTATATGAATAATTCTTTATTATCCACCAACTATTACTTAATCTAATAGAAACAAACTATTACTTAATACATATCAACGAACATTCAAATTTCACTATAATTATATTATTTATGTTTTAATGTCTTTCTAATAAAATATTATATTTATTGCATATTTAGTTACATATAGTTATTTTTATTATTTGCACAAAGAGCTTTTCAGTAGATACAAATATAATTGAAAAATCAATATTTTGTTGGTACTTTGGCATCATCTTCTTACAAGGGATGAGATCATGATGGTGACAAGATATTGGTTCCTCGGATGATGCTTACCTCTTCCAATGTGAGAATACCTTACAAGTTCTAGAGAAGACAATTCTCACTTATGGTTTCTTATGCCATGACGATAAATAAGAGTCAATGTCAATCTTTATCGCATGTTGGTCTGATGTGTCTGTTTTCCGCGTTATGAATCGTCAGGGTTCTAAAATATTAATATGTGGTGATGATACTTTGTCAAAAAACCAAATAAATAATATTGTGTGCAATGAGGTGTTTACTAATATATAAATAATTTTGTTTTCAGTTTTACTTCCAAACATGTATACAACCATATGGTTGTGTATTATTATAATTGTATATGTGTTATATTGTTAACTTATATTTCATCTCATTATTTCACATAACAATAACTTATAGATATTGCTTCTCGTGCATCGCACGGGCTACGCGCTAGTATATATAAAGAGATTAACATTTACCAATAATAGTTATCAACAATTTTCGGACAACATTTAATTCTTACTACTTTTGGAAATTTTTTTTAATTTTCAAATCAATAGCATTTAATGAAAATCCTAAAAATAAATCAGACCAATAAAATTAGGTAGCTATTTTATCCATACAAGCCTAAAAAATAGGAGTAATATTAGAATTCGAATCGGATTAAAAAATAGGAACAAAAATATTTTATCCATACAACCCTAAAAAATAGGAACAACAATAGCAGCTATTTTGAAAAGTCCACAATGGACGAAATTGTACATAAAATATTCACCCAATTTTGAATACACGTTTTCCACATACTAAATTGTTAATGAGATATCAAATTTGGTATCAATAATAATTCATACTTCCACAATTTCAAAATTTTAGAAATCTGATCGCACACACCAATGGAAGCACAAAAAATCGGAACAATCCAATTTTAATACATTTTCTTCACATATTAAATTATTAATGAGATAGTAATTTGAAATCAATTAAAATTCATCTACTTCCACAAGTTCAAATTTTCAAAATTCTTTGCATTCACCACGTACAGAATCCCAACAAATCGGAATAATCCAAGGCATTATGGTGCATCCGATGATGTTTACAAGAAATGTTCAAAGCCACATGCTATATTTTCTGATGCAATGGAGTCATATGAGGATTGCACAGAAGAGTGTGCATACATTTGATTTTTGCTCGTGCGGGGGATTTTCAGAAAATCAGTATTAAAAAGTTTGGATTGACCCAGTTTTGATTGATTTTTTTATTACTAAAATATTTAATTCAGGTTGAATTAAATTATGAAGAATTTCTATGTTCTGAATATATACTTGTGGTATATTTATTTTTTCAAAATTGATTTCGATAAGTGATAAATAAATGATTAAAGATAGCCGTTAATGGCCACGTAAAACGATGATTGTGGGATTCAAAGGGTCAAGAGTCTTATCCCACATTGGACTCTTAAATGATTTTTTTATTATAATAAAAAGAGTTGAAGGTCACAGCAATAAAAAAAGTATGCAATGTTGATGATGACTACGGCAACACGGACACGGACACCGGCCTAGGCCTTGGTCTTTAGGCATTAGCATTGGAATGTGGGTTGGACTTGGGCGGTCTTGGTCCTTGACAAATGGATTTTGCACTGGACTTGAGCGGTCTGGGCCAGTGTTGGCTTGGGCCTTGGGCCCAACCTCTACATCTTTTTGCTGCAAATTTATTTAAAAAAATTGTGGTCTAAAATGAAATTCCATTAAAATTGGATTTGGACTCGAGTTTTGACCTAACTCGTGAGAGAGACACCTCTCTAGATATATTGTATCTTGAGATGTTGACTCCACCTGAACGTTTCAGATGGAGTAATAGTGTGTTAACACCTGAAAACGGCAGGCTTAACTCCTGACAGTTTTCTGCCGATTAGAACAACCTTAAATGGTATAGTACCTGTCTTAAGTGGCAGGTGACTGATGACATTCCCCACTTGAACTGGAAATCTTATAAATAGGACACAGTAGACCTCCAAAAAGTCATTACAACATCATATGCATTCCACTATCTCGAAAGCCTCACGCATCATATACAAGTGCTCAATTTTTTACTCTGCTCAAGTTCGTTGGAGCTCCAAAGTCTGAAGTGCTATAGCTTCAGCGATGTAGCAGTTGTATCTTTAAGGACGAGACGTCTGAATCCATCAATACACTACGCGGCGTATTCGACTTGCGGAAAGAGCAATTCTCGCACGCTTAGGTTGATTCTCTTCTCGCATCAATATTTTGTGTATTGATCTTTTCTGATTTTAGTTCAAATTATAACAATTGAAACACATTACTCAATTTATAGGTTTTCCATGTAATATTTTTTTTTTCCAAACGATTGACAATCTCATTAAAAATAAACCAAAGACAAAGATCCCTAATACAACCGGATTAAAAAGAGAGCACCATGCACTAAGTCACTAAGTATGGCCTATAACACCCAACACTCACCCATAAACACACCAAAACAAACAGAGTTAGAATATAAACACTCAGTTTGTAACACAGCATAGTTAGAATTGTGTTAGCTAGCACTCTCTCTTTCAATGAAGTTCATTTGCTGACATAATTTGGTCTAAGATTATAATGTATTTTCACATATAAAATTTCATTTGGCTTCAATGTTCTCTAACCTAAACCGAAAGACATGTTCGGTTGCAATGTTTTCCGTACTTTCAGAGAATTAAACGCGAAGTGGTCCTTAAAAAAATAGAATGTGTGGCCAACTTTGGACGACACATTTGATTGATGCAATTAGTAGTGCCCATTTGATTGAACCAAAAGTCCAAAACACGTTGTGCCAATTATGTACATACATATAAAATAAATAAGAAAACAGAAATTTAAGTATAACTGTAAATGAATCGAAGCGAATTTTGAACCATTTGATCGAATTCGTGAAAATATTCGAACTTCATATTCAATTTACTATAAAATTCAATTTATAATTTGCATTCGATTCATTTACGATTATCCAATATATTTAAAATGTAAACATATAAATATATTTATATATTTATTGCATTATATATAAATAAAACTTTTTATTCTATATAATATATTTATATAATTATTATTAATAAACCGAATACTCGATATTCTCTAATCGAATGTGTAATTCAAATTCAAATTCATATAAGAGTTTGGGTACAAAGATTGAAATTAAAATCACAATGCTAATCAAACAAAAAAGGGAAAAAAAATTGTTACAACCCTATACCTAGAGGGCTAAGAAAATTGAGATGTCGGTGTGACACTTTTTATTGTAAATTTACGAATTATTTCTTCTTTAAGTTTACGTTTAGTTTATTTATAGTTTATAACAAGTTTATATTTGCTATGCCGTTTAGGGTGGGGACTAGAATCCCGACGTCCGATTCACTATATATATGATTAATGGTGCTTTATTTTTTTAGAGAATATTTTCACACATTTTGATTTCTTTATGTTTTTGAAAGATTTTAATGTATATTTGACGTTTATTAATAATTTATGTTTGATATATAAATAAAAAAAATATTCATGTAAACGAGATTTGATAATATTATTGACGGTCGACCACCAACATTTACAACTGATATGAATTGGGTGGTTTAATCGGGGGCTATGATATGTTTTATAGTATAATTGAAGCAACAAATCAGGAGAAGATATGAATAGATTCTCATTAACTAGAATAGTAAATATGCGAGAAAAATAATTGAGGCATCAATGTTGCAGATTTGCTATGGAGATCGGCACGGAGAGTGTTCTCCGGGATTTTTATTAAGAGATTGTGTAGCAATGCATTACAGCCATATGAGAAGCTATATGGTTTTGATCGTTTTATGATCATATGAGCTTATTTGGCTTGTTTCTCATGTCCTCGCTAGGATCCAAAGAGTTCGAATTTATACACGGAAAAGGCTTGGTGCTAGCTAGGGGCGTAGGTGGCGCCGCGTGTATCTAAACGAAACTCGTTTTTTGAGGATGAGATAACTTGGGCAGTAGCTTAACTAGTTTTATTGGTTCGACATTCAGACGAAGGGAGATCGCTAATCTTCCTCGAGAAGAATCAGTGAAAAATCGACAAGGACTGACTTCTATCGATTAGGGTATCGACAGACATAACATTGCGCCTTGGATTGTTTGCCTATTTTATGGGTTGCCTGTTGCGGGCGTTGACCCAACTTCTTATCTGGATTTTATCTTCGGTGAGTCATGTCTTGGGAAATTTTGGTACAACAAATATAAATTTGTTATAAATTATAAATAAACTAAACGTAAACTTAAAGAAGAAATAATTCGTAAATTTACAATAAAAAGTGTATCTTAAAAGATTAGATTTATACGAAATGTTTCAAAATTATAGTATACACCTTAAAGAAATGGCAATCCATCAAACACACTTGATAAATTAAGTCTCAGTTTGATTTGTCAATGATGTTATAAGTAGACCTACCTCTCATTGGGTATAATCTAGGCTCTGTGCTTGAATTTTTCCATCAAACACACTTGATAAATTAAGTCTGAGTTTGATTTGTCAATAATGTTATAAATTGTCCTACCTCAGTGGGTATAATCTAGGCTCTGTGCTTGACGATTTTTTTAGAACTTATGATCCAGAAGGCCGAAGATGGCCTACTAGGTTAAAGATTGACCTAATTTATTACTATTCACTCATGGGCGAATGAATATAAATAAAATCAATTTTAATTGAATTTGTTGGTTAAAATTACTTGATTTTAAATAAAGTTGATTGAGTGATGAATTGAGTTGTTTCTGAAATTATATTTAAATAATATTTAAAACGTAATAATTAGAATTGATGTGATTTAAAAGTATTAGAGGGATTATGGAAAATGTTAATAGTTAAAAATATGTGAGTGGATGGATAGTAGATTAAATTAAAGTTGATGTAATTTCTGAGAATGATTGATTGATATTATTTATTTAGGTTGATAATGTTGAAAAGAATTGAGTTGGATTAAATTTTAATCAAATTTTAAGTTATGTAGTGTAAAAAAATTATTCGACCAATTGAAATTGAATTTAACTAGTAACGAATCCCGCATCTTCATGGTCTTGTGTGCAAGCTATATTGAAACTTATTGTTCACAAGAGTACTCCCTGACCCCATCACATCATAATCTATTATAAACATATTTACTTTGTAGTGGAACTTTTGGTTTATTGCATACAATGTTATTATGTTAATAACGTGTTATAAAAAAGTTCTTTCAATTGGTATCGTTCAAGCTTCAAATTTAAATTTGTATTTTAGAGTATTTTGTAAAAGAAATGCACGGACCTACTAAATTAAAAATAAAACCAACTTATTAACCGTTCATTGATACGTGTGAACTATATAAAAACTTTGATTGTAACTAATCCCAAACTCTGACTCCACATGTCTATTAAGATCAATTAATATTTAAAGTTGAAAAAAAAAAGGTATAAAACTCAAGACATGTCGATAAAAAGCTTTTCTTTACACGTTAGCTCCACCAAACACTCAAAACACCACCACACCTCTATTTCCTTTTGTCAACATATCTAAATTTGGACGAAACTCACCTGTCCCCTTCCCTATCACACCCCACAGCCCCTTCTCTTGTCCTAACTGCGCGTCAAAATTTAAGAAATCTATATGTAATATATTTAAAATTTATATTATTTAAAATTTATATATATATATATATATATATTTGTATGTATATAATTTGAAGTAGTTTTCAGATTCATTGGTGATTGAATATAAGTTATTTTAATTTTGATTGAATTTGTTGGATATCTAGAGTTAATTTTAAAAAAGTTAATTGAGTTAAATCTGAGTAGTAATTTGGGTTTATATTAAAATAATATTTAATATACAATGGTTGAAGTTGATTTGATGTAAAAGTAGAAAAAATGTAATTGATAATTAAAATTATTTGAATAGATGAATAGTGAATTAATGTTGATGTGATATGTGATGATGATTTATTGATATTAGTTAATTATATTGATAATATTAGATAAGATTGTGTTGAGTTTGATTTTGAGTTAAAAAAAAATATATGGTAAAAAATGACCGAATAATATGTATTCAATCACGACTTACAACCTTGCTTGTGTGCTTGATTAAACTCAAAAAATTGCAATCCATCAAATATACTTGATAAATTAAGTTTGGGTACTACAAGAATAATTATTATTAGCGACACTAATTATAGTGTCGACATTAATGTCATGACTATAAAATAATTATTGTGACGACATTCGAACATAAAGCGACATTATTAGCGACGGTATTTTTTGTAACGACATTTGAACACATAGTGACAAAAATTATCGCCACTAAAAATGATTATTCTTGTAATGGGTTTGATTTATTAAAAATGTTATAAATAGATGGTGAAGATCGTGTATCGTGGATTTGTGTTTGTAAAAAAATCCGCACCAACGGTCTTGGTTAATACAAGAGGTTTTGTGCTCGAAAAAGTGTTTTTTTTTTGTTAAATATTATTGCTTAACAAAAATAAAGATGATTACATGGGCTATTTAAAGAAAGAAATACTATGCACATGAGAAGATAAATTCTAATCCAAAGGAAAGTAAATATCAATAGTCCTTGAAATTACCAAAATAATCAAACACCTATGCAAATTATAAGGTGGATAAAATATAAAAAAACCTTTTGTAAAGGATAAAAAAATTAAGATTTAAGATTAATTTTGTATTCAATATTTTATTATATAATTAGTATATAAAAAATATAATAAAAATATATATAAAAGTGGGCCTAGATGTAACAGGGAGTCCTGAGCGGTCACTTGGCCTGCCCTACCACAGGGCCGGCCCTGCAGCCCCCTCTCATAATTGCGGGTCAAAACTTAAAATCTATATGTAACATATTTAAAATTTATATGTGTGTGTGTGTAAGTTGAAGTAGTTTTTAGATTCACCTGGGGTGATTGAATATAAGTGATTTGATTTTGATTATATTTGTTTGATATCTAGAGTTAATTTTGAAAAGTTGATTGAGTTAGGTCTGAGTAGGAATTTGAATTTGTATTAAAATAATATTTAAAATGTAATGGTTAAGGTTAATTTGATGTAAAAGGAGATGAGATGTAATTGTTAGTTAAAATTATTTAAGTGGATGAATAGTGGATTAATGTTTATGTGATATGAGAGAATGCTTTATTGATATCAGTTAATTATATTGATAATAGTGAAGACGATTGTGTTGAGTTAAATTTGAGTTAGATTTTGAGTTAAAAAAAAAATTATCTGATAAAAAATACCAAATAATATGTATCCAATAACGGCTTACAGCCTTAGCTTGTGCGCTTGATTAAACTCAAAAAGTTGCAATCCATCAAATATACTTGATAAACTAAGCTTAGGTTTGATTTGTTAAAAATGTTAAAAATAGATGATGAAGATCGTGTACAGTGGATTTATATTTCTAAAAGCCCGCACTAATAGCCTTGGTTAATTCAAGAGTTTGTGCTCGAAAGATTTTTTTTTTCTTTTATATATATCTTATTGCTTAATGAAAATAAAGATGATTATATGGGTTTTTTTAAAGAAGATAAATACTATGCCTATGAGAAGATAAATTCTTATCCTAAGGAAAGTGAATATCAATAGTCTTAGGAATTACCAAAATAATTAAACACCTATGCAAATAAGGAATAGAATTATAGTAAAAGTTATACTAGAAATCTTGGCTAGCTTGCTCCTCAAGATTCGTACCATTCTCGTGTCCTTCAAGCAGGGGCGAAACCAGGAAATTAATTGAGAGGGGGCAAAAAAGACATAACAAAAAATTTGGGGGTGCAAAAATTAATTCAAGAGAGGGCAAATTAAAATTTTTAATTATAATAGTAAAAGAAATTAAAATTTTAGGTGGGGCAATTGCCCCCTATGTATCAATGTAGTTTCGCCCCTGCCTTCAAGTAAATCCTTGTCTTCAAGGATAAAGTCGAAAATTGAATACGCATATCGTGCATGCTTTCCCACGTCGCCTTCTCCCCCAGCAACTCGTCCTATTCAACCAAAATCTCCCAACGAAATCGGCCCGCCTTCCTCACTCGGTGATAGTCTAGCGCCCGACTAGCTCGCATGATAAATTGTTCTTTTGTGTCTATTGCCGGTAGATGAGTCCCAACCTTGGGTTCTTCACCTAGGCTCTTTATCAACTGTGAAACATGAATGACCACATGAATTTGAGACTCGACCAGCAAATTGAATCAAAACGGCACACTGCCCGCACGCTCTTTGATCTGATACGACCCGTAAAATCAACTTCCGAGCATGTGCAACGTCTTTTGCAAAATAAACCCACTCGTCAGGCTCTAAGTGCTCCTTGCCGAATTGCTCTAAGAAGTCCCAGACCTTATAATGATGCGGCGGTGACAGCTCGGTCCCTTCAACTCTATTGTCTACATTGATAGCAAAAAGTTGGCTGCCACATTTCCACAATTTCTCCATATTTTTCAAGCTCGTCCACTTGATGCCTTCGTTGGTTTTGGTTGTCAATGTGACCAACCTATCCCCCAGTCCTAGGCCCTCCAACCATTGCACCCTGAGTACCACGTACATTGGGACGTACCAAAGGCAACGCTTAAAGATCGGCTTTCAAGGCCACACCCTGCAGTTTGATAGGCACGCCTCGAAAATACTCCGGACACCTTAATTGTCAGACTGAGCATGAACCTCAATGCGAGACTGAGGGATCGACCGCACGGGGCCCATATGGCAGATACATTCTCCACAATTCTCGATGTTTGGATGCAGTGAAGAAGCTAGAGGGCCTCATGCCTGAGTGGTACTGTAACTTCATCTCGTCGGAGACTCCTCAGATCTAGAATCCTTAAAGAGGTGCCTCAGGGAGTGGTGCAAGCAGCAACTGTACCCATGATGGTTTGGACTCAGGGACTGCAAAATTTAGTGTCGTCGATGTTGGCAATAAAAACATGCCAGTGGTCGATGAGCCATATGGCAGTGACTTTGGGGTCAATGGTGCAAGGGACCGCGGAGGCTTATAGGACTCACTTCAAACTAAAGAAGGTCAAAGCGGAGCATGCCAAATGCCAAGATCGTGAAAACGCGCTGGCAGCTCGTCTTGATGAGGTGAGCGATATATATAAAAAAGGTCTTCAATGATTATGTTGTGCTCAATGCAGAGAAGAATGGACTTGAAGTGTGTCTAGAGAAGTCAGATGGTAGACATGCACACTATCTCGGTGAGTTGAGGTAGGAGATCGATATATTAAAGAACAATCACATTATTCAGGTAGATCGTTTGGATAAGATGTTATCCGAAGTCCAAGAGGGAAACTGACTTCCAAGAAGTAAAAGAGATCAGACATGCCGAAGGGTATGTGTTAGGTGAGAAAAAAGGGTATCAAGATTGGCAAAGAGACAATTGAAGGGTCTGATGGTGAGACCAAGGTTCTGGAAGAGGCAGAGAGAACGGATGTCATTCTGTGGGTGCTGAAGACTCTAGAGCAAGGCCAGGACTTGGACCTCATCAAGCGCATCTGCACCCGAAAGAAGGATCGTCGAGAGATGACCTCGAATGAAGACAGTGAGCCAAATCAAGATGCCAAGCCAGTGCTTAAGGAGCGGGGCAATCACCCAGTGTAGAAAAAGGTTGATCTCCTAGTTTGATCCCAACTCGACAATGGTGCTACATACATCTCAGCAGATGCTATTACATCGGGAGATAGGACGTTGGTAGGCCAAGGAGGCACCTCCAGCAACATCAAGGAATCTGTCGATCGTTGAACAGCTTGTATTAATTTATTTTTGAAAAATAGTTTGAATTTGTTTTGGCTGATGTGAGGCCTTTTATTTTAGCTGATGCAAGGCTTAGTAAAAAATGTGTGCTGAAGTTTCGACCAATATATGGCCTTTTGAAAGTTTTGATTAATAAAAAATCTGTGATTATGGTTAAAAAATGGTGTATTCAAGAAAAGTGTAGGCGATCTGCGAAATCGCGTTTGGTTTTGTTGTTTTATTCATGAATAATAGTTGAGTAAATCGACGGTTTTTCATTAAAGAGGCTCGAGACCAACCAATGTTTCGGGATATAGCCATATCTCGGCAATCGCGCTATGTGAGTAACAAAATTTTTGAGCTGTAGTTCGGCGATGATATGAAAAAAAAAATGTCGGGGTATGTTGCTACTCGAAAGCTATCGACTCAATGCCTTTTGGAACAATTTTTGTAGCCATAATTCGACAATGATAAGAAAAGGTTTGTCGGAGTATATCACTACTCGTAAGCAATTGACTTCATACATTTGAAATACTTTTTGTAGCCGTAATTCAACGATGATTTTTTTTTTTCATGGTATGTCGCTAAGCGAAAGTGATCGGCTTGATGCCTTTGATCAACAAGCTTGAGTTTTTTGCGGTCTGGCCTCATTTGGGTAGCCTTATTTTGACGGTCTGGCCTCACATGGGCAACATGTTTTTTCATGATTAATTGATGGTTGATATGTTTTGGACTCAGAAGTGGTCGCNAGATGAAGGAGCATTAAATGCTAGGCGTCAGCCAGGGGTATAGGGTGACGTCGCGTGTATCCTTGCAGTGCTTGATGGGATAGATTGGGTGGTGCTATTAGCCTTATCTTATCTATTCAGATTGCATGTTGTCAATCTTCCTCGAGAATACTCCGAGGGCTATCGACGAACCTATTGGGGCATCGAGAAACCTAACCCTGCGATTATGGCCATTCGCTAGAGGGCCGGTGTGCTTCGTGAGCGTTGCTTAGCATGTTGGGATTGTGTCTTTTGGAGAACTTTGTGATCAGTCATTTTTAGGTGCAACAGACCTAATTATTTAACCAGCCTAACACAATAACTATGTTCTAATAATTATACATAATTTCATATTCGTATGACATAATGTAAAATTCAATACGATAAAAAATACGACATTTCATAATACAGGTATGTGTATTTTATAAAGAAATATATGACTATTAGCGGTTATGCAGCCAAACACCAACCTTTATCGAAAAGTTTTGATTATAATTCAAATCCATATGTCCACAAAAATCAATTAGTATGTATAATAAAAATAAAAGAAAAGAAAATTGGAGAAAAAACACTCAAACATGACTATAAAATGCTTACAAAAAAACAAAAAAAAAAAAAAGTTCTCCCTCGTGAGAAAAACTTCCCTCCTTGGGATGCTAGTTCCTGTGTTCTGGATTCTTGCTTTGGTGGTTTTGATCATTCTTCAAAACTCTGTCTCATCTCTTGTTTTCTATTAACGTCTTTTTTCATCGCGTTATTCTGTGGTTTATGGTTGTGTCAGCGTGTCTAGGGTTAGGGTTTTTTCAGCGTTGTTATTCTCTTCGCCGTATCTCTTTTCTTCTATCAACGTCTCTTTTCAGAGCTACTTTCTGTGGTCTATCGTTGTGTCAGCGTTTCTAGGGCTAAGGATTTGCCAAACTTTTATTCATTGTCCTTACCTTCGTTTCTGTCTTGTTTGTAGTGTCCAGGTCTTTTATCTCTGCTCAGAGTGGGCTGGGTTCCATTTCTTGGTAACAATGGAGGAGAATCTGATGGAGAAGATGAGAAACTTCAAGTTATCAGATAAGGAAGAGAATGGGTTACAAGTCGAGGAAGAGGATTTCGCTCTTGCTTTGAAAGACTGTAAGCAGAGTCTAATAGGAAAGATCTATGGGGATAAAAAGATCAATTTCAGTGGGTTGAAAGCGACATTAGGAAACATTTGGGTGACTCAGAAGCAGTTTTCCATGAGAAATATTGGGACAAACTTATTCCAGTTCATTTTTCAGACAGAGGAAGACAAAGTGAAGGTTCTTCATGGAAAGACATGGTCCTTTGACGGACAATACCTATTATTGAAAGAATGGGACCCAAATGCTACTGATTTTACAAGAGAAGAGGAGAAAATCAAAATCTGGGTCCAAGTGCATAATCTCCCTCTGCATTGGCTTACAGCTGAGATGGGTCTCAAAATTGGAGGGATTATTGGGACGGTTCTTAATGTGCAAACCCCAGGAGCTGGCAGCCCCCATGGTAATTTGATTAAAGTCCAAGTAGAGTTAAACCTGAGGGAGGCTATACCAAGGGGAACTAAGCTAAAGTTGGGAACAGAAACTAGATAGGTTGACTTCAGGTATGAAAATCTCCAATCTTTCTGTTTTTACTGTGGTTTAATTGGGCATGTTGATAAAAACTGCCCTGAGAAAAGAGTTGATGTAACTAAAAAAGTGTTAAACTCTGGCCAATTTGGGGATTGGTTGAGAGCCACTCACATTTCTTTGAATGAATCTAAAAGCTTCAAAGCATCTGAATCTAGGGATAATAGCACTGATAATTCTCAAAAAGTGTCTAGTCAAGCAGAGGGTGTGGGAAAAAAGGGTAGTGGGACCAGTGAGTCTTCTATTAGAGGTGAGTCTCCTCCTGACAACCATGTTTTGGATTTGGAGAGAGATAGTGGGGAGGATAGTATTGAGAGAGGTAAGGTAGGGAGTGGTTCAACCCCTACTAAACCATCTCAAGCCCTCACTAAAGAACCCTCTCATGTTGATAGTGGGAATCAACTTGTAGAAGTTGCAACCCAGGATATGACGATAGAATCGAAAGATGTCCTCAAAAGGAAAAAATATGTTATTAGGAAAACTAAGCCAATGATACCAACTATCCATGAGGATATGGTGGTTGAGGTCCCTTTACAAAGCACTATGCTCCCTGCTTCTTTTACTTCTCTGCAAAAAAGGAGTTTAGATGAATGTCTTCAGCAATCTTCTTCTCCTGCAGAGAGTACTGACCAAAAGAAAAAAATAAAAATGTCCAATCTAAATGAATCAGATGTGGTGGAGGTGACCAGCCAAAAGTGGTCCCAAGGGTCTAAATGAGAGTATGTGTGTGGAATTGTAGAGGTTTGGGAGGACCCTCTACAATTTCCCAATTGCGGAAGCTCTTAGAGCTCATCTCCCAGACTTAGTCTTTTTGTCTGAAGTTAAAAAGAAAAGAAAATTTGCTGAGTCAGTTTGTAAAAAACTAAGACTAAATGATAGATGGATGTATTGTAATCCAGCTGGGACTAAAGGGGGCTTGTTTTTACATTGGTCTGATAAGATTAGCATTTTAGATTTCTTTTGCCTAGACTTTTGTATTGGGGTCAAATTCAATAAGGTTGGGTTTGACTTTGTTCAGTGGGGTGTTTTTATATATGCTAGTACTGATTTTGATGTCAGAATGATTCAGTGGGATATTTTGTGTAGTATGAAGGATCAGTGGGGGGATATGTGGTTTGTGGGGGGTGATTTTAATGCTATTTTGTCGAATGAAGATAAAAAAGGGGGTAGAATTAGGGATCAGGCCAGTTTTCAACCATTTAGGGATTGGGTGTCTACTATGGGCATGAGTGAAACTAGAACCCAAGGTCATCACTTTACATGGTCTAATCTTAGACAGGGGTCTGACTTTATTGAAGCTACGTTGGATAGGTTTTTCTTTTCTCATGAGTGGCTTTCTCAATTCCCAAATGCCATTGTTAATCACATTTCAGTTATATCCTCTGATCACAGTATACTGTTGTTGGAGAGTGACTGTACCTTGAAGTTAAAACCCAAGAGGTTTGTGTTTGATGCTAGATGGGTTAATCTTGAAGGTTTTAAGACAGTGGTAGAAAAAGCCTGGAATTTACCAGTGAATGGGCCACCTCTGTATAGCATTCAAGGCAGGATTAGGAATGTGAGAAAGGCTTTATTAGCCTGGCAAAGAACTCACACTACTAATTCAGCTAAGATGATTGTTATATGTCAGGAACAGATTATGGAACTGGAAAGAAAGGGTTGCAATAGAAATTGGGGTGAGTGGAATAAATGGAGAAGTAAACTTCATCAAGCATATTTAGATGAGGAGAAGTATTGGAGAGATAAATCTAGAATCCTATGGCTTAAGGAAGGTGACAGAAATACTAAGTATTTTCAGGCCACTGTGCAGCAAAGAAGAAAATTGAATGGTCTAGAAAATCTTAAGGATTCAAGGGGTACAAGGTGTAGTAATGAGCATGAGATAACTGGGGAGTTAGAACAATACTTTAATCAACTGTTCACTACTTCAGTACCAGATGTTGATGTTTGTGATCTGAATGGAATATCTCAATCCATAACTGATGATATGAATCAGATGTTGACTTCTGCTGTGACTGTGAAGGAGATATATGCAGTAATCAAAGAAATGGAACCAAATAAAGCCCCTGGCATTGATGGAATGACCACTCTCTTCTTTCAAAGTTGTTGGCCAATTGTTAAAGACCATTTGTGTGCTGCCATCATCAATTTCTTTGAATCTGGAATGATGCCCAAAGGTATTAATCATACTGTCCTCTCTCTTATTCCTAAAAAATCTAATCCCTCCCTTGTTTCTGATTTTAGACCCATAGCTCTTTGTACAGTTATTTATAAAATTATCTCCAAAATCATAGCTAATAGAATTAAATTAGTTTTGAGCCCTTGCATTAATGATTCCCAAGCTGCTTTTGTCCCAGGAAGACAAATTCTTGACAATGTTGTGTTGGCAAATGAATGTCTTCATTTCATCAATAGTAAAAGAAAAGGTTCTAAATATTTGATGGCAGTTAAACTTGATATGGAAAAAGCTTATGACCGCGTTGAGTGGCCCTTTTTGATTTGTGTCTGTAAAAAAATGGGATTTTCTGATCAGTTTTTGTCCTGGATTTTGCTTGTCTTAGTACCATCTCTTACTCTTTCAATGTTAATGGGCAAATTTTGGGTTTGGTTAAACCTTCTAGGGGGATTAGGCAGGGTGATCCAATTTCCCCATACCTGTTTATCATTCTCTCTGAAGCCCTTTCCAATTTGATTAATCAAGCAGTTATTAATTCCTTGTATTTTGGTATTAAAGTTAGTAGGTATTCCCCCTATCTCCCATCTTTTGTTTGCTGATGATACCATCTTATTTTGCTCTGCTGATGTTTATCATGCTTCTCTCATTCTTCAAATTCTTGATAGATTTGGAACTTCTTCTGGTCAAACTGTCAACTTGAGTAAGTCCTCTATTATTTTCTCTAAAAATACCCCTGCTAACACCAAAGTGAGAATCTGCAACATTTTGAATGGCATTCAGAGTGTGGGATCCACTAAATACTTAGGGCTTCCTCTTGGAATAGGCAGATCAAAAAGAGACACTTTTAACTATGTTAGGGATGCTGTTTTAGCAAAAATCTCTTGTTGGAAAAACTCCTTTTTGTCTTCAGCTGGGAGAGAGATTTTAATTAAATCAGTATTAGATGCATTACCCACTTATGTAATGTCATGTTTTAAGCTTCCTGTGAGTATATGTAAGGACATTTGTAGGGAAGTGGCTAATTTTTGGTGGGGTAAAAAGGATCAGGGGGGTAACAAAATTCATTGGGCTGCCTGGGACTTGCTAACTAAACCCAAAACTTGTGGGGGTTTGGGATTCAGGAATCTTTGCATTTTCAATGAGGCTCTTCTTGTTAAGCAATTATGGAGAGTTATTACCTGTCCAAACCTGCTTATAAGTAGAGTCCTCAAAGGAAAATATTTTCATGACACTCATATCTTTAATGTGACTCCTAAAAATGGGGACTCATGGTTGTGGAAGAGTTGGGTAAGTGTCATTAGACTGTTAAAGTTGGGGGCCAGATACAACAAGTGGGAGATGGGCATCTCATTTCTACCTGGGACCATCCTTGGCTTCCTAGGATTTCTAACCCTTCTCCTACTTGCTGTTTTCCAAGGGATAGGGTTAAATTGGCTCGAGTGAGTGATCTTATGATTGAGGGGGGAGGAGAGTGGGACAGGGAATTGATAAGACAGTCTTTTATGCCTGAAGAGGCAGAGATCATTCTTAAAATCTCTGTTTCTAGAATAGGCAGAAGGGACAAAATAGTGTGGATGTTTGGGAAATCTGGGAAATTTGATGTGAAATCAGCTTACAATGCTATCTTGGCTGAGGTAGGTAAAAGCAAGTCTGAGGCCAGCTCGAGTGGAGGTCTGAATATTAGAAAAAATTGGTGGAAGCTGACATGGACTCTCCCTGTTAAACCCAAAATCAAACACTTTTTATGAAGTGTTGGTACAGATTTCTGAGTTCCAATGATCAATTGCTGCTGAGGAACATAAATGTGAATAGTACATGTATGTTGTGTGGGGTAGTTGTGGAAGATCTTGACCACATCCTTTTTTTCTGTGAGAGAGCCAAAATGGTGTGGAAGATAAGTGGAGTAACCTGGAATATGCTAGAAGCCCCTAATCCTAGCTTTAGATGTTGGTGGAGTGAAGTTTGTAGTGCAGTACAATCCAGCAGCCTCAAGGATAGAATAAGTTTATCTTGTTATATTCTTTGGTGGTTGTGGAAAACTAGGAACTTGTGGGTGTTTGAAAAAAAGAAATTAAATGAATGGCAGGTGGCAGAGGGTGCCAAATTAGAGTGGATGGAGTTTTTGAATTTGCAGGACCTGACTAGGAGTAGAGTGAGGGAGAAGGAACTACACTCCAGTGATACTGAGGAGCAGATTTTCCAGAAGGTAGGACAGTGGAGCCTTACTGTCAGTGCCTTGAGCTCCTCAAACAATCAACTGGAGATATCTTGCTTAGCTGAGAAGGAGGGGGACGAAGCTCAGATTCTGAAAACAAACTTGTGGTTTAATGGATGCAAGGAAGGCCTGGTTCTTGAAGCTATCAGATGGGTCATGATGCAGGCTGTTCACAAGAGATGGCTTGATTGTAATCTCAAGCTAAAGGACAAACATCTGGCTGCTAAACTGCAAAGGAGACCATTTCAATTTGATGTATGTTGTAATGTTATAGTTGAGGATATATGTACTCTTATGGACTCTTTCTCCTATATTTCTTTTGTTGTTCAATGACTAGTTATGGTTAGTTTGTGCGGTTTGTTGAAGGGGTAGGATTGTGTTCTCTATCCCTATGTTGTAAACACTCATTTGGGTGTCCGGTTGAACATTGTATTGAGNGAGAATGGCCGTTCTTTCAGGTCTGCGCCACTTCTCCTTCACGAGCGGCGGCGGAGCCATCGACGGCGGCTGCCGGGAGCTGATGAAGAAGCGCGCGGCGGACCCGGCGGCGCAGAAGGCGGAGGCCGACGCCGGTGAGCGGTTCGACCCGGCGGCTCCGCCGCCGTTCCGCATCGCCGACGTCAGGGCGGCCATCCCCCCGCACTGCTGGGTCAGGGATCCGTGGCGGTCGCTGTCCTACGTCGCCCGCGACGCCGCCGCCGTCGCCGGGCTGATCGTCGCCGCTGTGTGGCTAGACAGCTGGCTCTTCTGGCCGGTTTACTGGCTCGCGCAGGGCACTATGTTCTGGGCGATGTTCGTCCTCGGACACGACTGGTGACGCATCCATCGATTGATCTGATTTGGATTCGTCAATGCTGTTTGATTAATTGACGGATCGAATTTGTGTTTTTTTTGTTTGAAATTTGAAAATGAATCTGATGATTGATAATATTACAGCGGCCATGGGAGCTTTTCAGAAAGCACGACGCTGAACAATGTTGTTGGGCATATCTTACATTCTTTGATTCTCGTGCCTTATCATGGATGGTTAGTACAATTGCCATTGATGTTAATTCAATCGTGAGAAAACTCGATGTGGAATGCAAATGTGTGTAGAGTCGAATTTCACGAGATTTACAATTACATCTCATAACATATTCTGCAAATAATATTGGTTTGACAGGAGAATAAGCCACAGGACCCACCATCAAAATCATGGCCACGTCGAAAACGACGAGTCCTGGGTGCCGGTAATTGGACCTTTTTTTTTCAGATCTTGATATATTTAATTCTGAAAAGAAGAAGGGAAGTGTTCGATTATGATTGTGTTATTATTTAATTTGAGTTTTAAATTTACGAAATAGAGATTAAAATGCGTGTGTGAATTTTTGCAGCTGCCTGAGAAGTTGTACAAAAAGCTAGGTTACTCGACCAAATTCTTGAGATACAAAATCCCATTCCCAATGTTTGCATACCCGATGTATCTGGTATTTATTTCTTATAATCTTCTCTTAATTTGGTGAATTTCTGGTATTTATTTCTTATAATCTTCTCTTAATTTGGTGAATTTCAGTCATTAGCTCGTTCTAATAACTGGGTTAGGTATTTGGTAGTATTTACTTTTACCCGTTATTTTAGGAAAACGCTCATCAGACTATATTTGTTCGCTAATAAATTGGAGAGATTTATTTTAAAAAGAGTAACTAATTTAAAGCAAACTAGTATGTACCCGTGCGATGCACGAGAACAATATTAAATTAACAATATTATAAATAGACCTCGAGTTTGAGTCACTCAATGGCGGAAGTGGAAACTACTATTGATCCTATTTAAAAAGAGAAAGAAAAAAATAATTATAAATTAAAGAGGAGGATAAACAATAATTAATAATTATAAATTAAAGATTCGGGGTCAAACAATGTAAAACTATTTTGTATAAGAGAATATGAAATTTACATTATTTTGTATAAGAGAATATAAAATTTGTATGTTTAATATTAAAAGCACCTAAAATATTATATTAGTATATGTAAAAGTATTCAAAATTTTCTATATTATTTTTTAAAGATGTGAAGTCACCTACAACTTTTCTAAACAATTTTAGAAGGAAAACATATCTAAAAACATTTGAATTTAACATTGTGTAAAAAATATTTTTCTAGACTATTTTGTAAAGAAAACATGTCTACAAATATTTAAATTTAACATCAATTATGTATATGTGTGTGTATATATATATATATGTATATATAGACGAATATATAAAAAAAATGTCTAAACAATTTGTTTAACATATCTAAAATATTATAAGCATAATTTAAGAAATACATTAGGTCAGATGATACCGAATTTATGGCGTTACTTTCACCTAAAAAATTTGAATTATTATTTTTAAAGTACGATATTTCAATTTAAAAATATATTATGACTATTTAACGATTATGCAAGCACGTGCTTATTTGAGAGCACTTTGCAGAAATCTATTTATTAATTTGACTTCTTCATATATCTCAGTTATTTCTTTTTATAGAATTAACTTTTTAAAGGAAATTAAGTAAGTCCATTTTTAAGTTAACATCAAATATATTCATTTATTAAATGTCTTTCTAATGCCTCACTAGCTATAAACATATTGTGAATAAAATTATAATTTCGGAAGGCGAATTTGCTATGGAGCCAACAGTTGGCTCCATAACAAAACCGTTTGAGAAGGATACTCAGACATTATCATATATATATATATATATATATATATATATTAAAATGATTATGCCATTTTTTAGGTTGTTTCTAAAAGTCATGATATAACCATTATATTGCTTAGTCAAATTATGTCAATTTTGTTAGGAAATAAAAAGAATCTCCAATCTCTTTCGAATATTTTGCAGTCGTATATATTTTTTTTATTTTATTTAATTTAGCATGTCGTTTGTGTTGTCAGTGGTACCGAAGTCCAGGAAAAAGTGGATCTCATTTTGATCCACACAGCGACTTGTTTAAGCCACACGAGAGAAAGCTGGTGATGACGTCAACCATTTGTTGGGGTTTGATGCTTGCTTTTCTCTTCTACATCTCCACCATTATTGGTCCACTCTTATTGATCAAGCTCTATGTTGTTCCCTACTTGGTAAAATTCCTCATATTCCTAAATCTTGTTTTCGATTTTTACATGAAGTTCTAATTTATGTTTCATTTCACTTAATAAATGACATCTATGAGAAATTGAAACGTGAATTTAAAATGAGAAATCTTTTCTCCAATGTCCTTGTTTGATTTTGCATTTTATTCAATCACATTTATGGAAAATCAGATTGTAAATTGGAAATAACTACGGATTGAAATATGAATATTAGAAAATCTATAAATTTCTAAAAAAGGTACAAAATTTTTGGAATTGTACAAAGCTAATTAAAGTCTGAAATTCAGGTTGCATTTTGGGCAACAAACACTTCTACGCAATTAATTCATGTTTTTTTTATACATAAGATGCAATTTTGCTATGAAGTTAAGTCAAAACCTTCAGCATACAGATGTTTAGAGCATGCTTGGATGTTTTTGTTTTGATTAAATTTTTTCTTTGAGTTGGTTAAATTTGAAAAAGTTGGTATCATTAGTTGTTAGTGGGTATATTAAAATAATATTTAAAATAAAATGATTAAAATTAAATTGATGTAAAAGTAAGAGAGAAAAGATGTGATGTGATGATTAGTTAAAATTATGTGAGTTGATGAATAGTAAATTAAGGTTGATGTTGTGTGTAAAAATGATTGATTGATATTATTTAATTATGTTGATAATATTGATGATAGTAGGTTGAGTTAAAGATTACTTAAAACAAATAATTAGTTAAAAATGATTGAATTTTTTGGGTCGAATTTGTATCAAACATGCTCTTAAAATCAACAATCACCGAACTTTCAAAAATCTCAATTACATAGGAAAAAAAAAAAGGGAAAAAAACACATCTCAACTACTATTACTAGCATAGTAACATGATTTTGCCACCTAAAAAGATATCATTGTAGTCCATCAAATCCCAGATTCCCATAAATAATAAAATCTTCGATCCTTTCAATTGTTTATTTATTTATTTTTTTCTCACTAATGTCAGAGACTGATTCATATTTTATTACAATCAAACAGATATTTGTGGCATGGCTAGACACTGTCACCTACTTGCACCATCATGGGCACGACAGGAAGCTCCCGTGGTACCGTGGAAAGGTGCGACTATTCTATACTTTTGATTAATTAATTAATTTGGACAATTTAGATATTTACAGTTAATAATGAAAATTTAATTAATTATTTTTAAATTTTTGTGTGACGCAATCTAACCGTTAAACGACTTGTCATACTTTATATATACCAATGCATATTTTGTCATACTTCTATTTACGATATTTATTTAAAATATGACATTATTCAAGGAGGTCTGTTCAATTATGATTCTAAGTGATATTTTAATAATTTTTTTCGTTTTAACATTCTAAAACTTTCAAATTTAAGAGGAATCCTTGAAAATCTAATAATGATATTTTTTTATTAATTTTAAAATTTACGTCTTTCAATAGACGTCTTAGAAATTTTATATTTAGAGGTGGGATTTCATATATAGTTTTTTCTCACTTAAATCTCTTACAAATTTCAGACAAATTTAAAAGTATCCAAGTAATAAATAAATTGAATACTTTTTAACTTTTTAAGATTTTTTGATATCTGAAATAAATATATCAGGATTTTAAGTTTTAAAAATTCAAGTTAAATACACTAAAATTCTTAAAATCCAAAAATTCTTTTAAGGGGAGGACTGATTAGATTGGCACAACATAACACTTACCATTAATAAATTAGCGTTTGGTTCTTGTTTTTTGAGCAGGAATGGAGTTATTTAAGGGGAGGACTGACGACGGTAGATCGAGATTACGGAATATTTAACGGAATCCACCATGATATTGGGACCCACGTCATTCACCATCTCTTTCCTCAAATTCCACACTATCACTTAGTTGAGGCGGTGAGTGAGATCTCAATTCACCTAACCCTAATCACGTGATCATTTTATTATCTTCCCTATGTGACTGTCCCATTGTTTATATATTTGAATATTATATACATAGCATTTTATGAGATTTGTATAACTATATATGCTCAATATTATGTACATATAACAAAAGAAAAGAACAATTGACGTTAGTTGGCCTTCCTAATTATAATTGGCTATATGCTTTGAAATGTCGTTCAAAATCAATCAAAATGGTTTGAATTTTTTATGTCGGATTTTTGAATATAAAGTCATTCATGTTTATGTATAAATAATATATTGATACGTGTCTTATAAATGCAATACATGATTTCTGATACATACAACCCCTCTCTGCTTTTCCCACTCTGTTTTTTTTTTTTTTTTTAATTATTTTTGTGTTTCCATTATGAATTAATTTGATTAAGTTGCTAATTGATTGATTAATTTGCAGACAAGGGAAGCAAAGAGGGTATTGAGGGAATACTATAGAGAGCCCAAGAAATCAGGACTAATCCCTATTCACTTAATCCCCAATTTGGTGAAAAGCATCCAAACTGACCATTTTGTTAGCGATCATGGGGACGTAGTTTACTACCAAACGGATGATAAAATCTTTTCTTCCCAATAGACCCTCTAAACACCATCATCATCATCATACCCAATAAAATTAATCAAGGTTTGTTGCAAGATTTTAGATTAATTGAATTTGTAGTCCTATCTTTAATCAATATGCCTCTAGTGCCATATTATTACTCGAAACACTCGTTTTTTAAGATCAGTTTGGTAAGATTTTGGCACTATTTTATGTTGTTTTGTCATAATTTTGTTTAGAGAAATTCTACATCTGCTGTTGTGTTGAGCCTTTTCTTTCTTCCAAATTTTGGTGGACGTTTGGATATTGTATTGAGACAGATGCAGAGTTGAATTGCTGAACTTTATGTTTTTACACAAATATTTTGTTATTTGGAGCCATTACATGATTCAAACTACTTATATTTCTAACTCATGTTTGGTATTGGGTTAGGTCCGCCTATTCTTTAATCAGACATACTATTTTTATAAATTTGTATGTTTTCATTAGAAAGAATCATATTTTTAAATAACATAAATTATTATAAATGATAGTATAAGTATATTTTTATTCAAAATATTATGTTCAATCGACCACCTAATGTTTATGCTACCTTTTATAAGAATTTGTGTTTGAAATATTATATTTTATACCCTCTTCCCCTCTCTCGTCGTTAACTATTAAAGGACAATCCACTCTCGCACACGGTCAACCATACCGCACAAGATCAACCATATCATACACAATAAGTGTGTAATTTCGACGCGGTAAAACATGAATTAATATATTTACTAATAAATGTACTATAACATAAACATATCATAAGTGTTTAATTTCCATTCGGTAAAACATGAGTTAATATGTTCACTAATAAATGTACTAGAACATAAACATATCACACCCAATAGGTATTTCATTGAAAGGCTACTAGTTAACATACTCACTAACTAATGTAATAGAATATAAACATATCGTAATTGAAAGGTTACGAGATATTGAATGATGGACAAATCCCCGTTTTAGTTAAAATATAGAACTTGTCGTTTCTAACTAAAAAATAAAAGGCATGGGTCCATATTGTACAGGCCTAAAAAAATTACAAGCCTATTTAGCCCCACATATCGAACCCGAGGGTTAAGGTGGCGATTTGATATAAATAAAATCAATTTTGATCAGATTTATTTGTTAAATTGAGTTAATTTTGAATAAAGTTAGTTAAATTAATGATTTAGTTAGATTTTCAATTAATATTTAAATAATATTTAATCTGTAATATTGAAACTAATGTGATGTAAAAGTATGAGATAAGTTATTTTGATGATAGATAATTAAAAATTATGAGAGTAAATAAATACTGAATTATAGTTGATGTGATGCATGAGGATGATTGATTGATATTATATTACTATATTGATAATATTAAGAACACCCAGAATGCATTGAGTCTCTTAATAAAATATCATATGACACATAGGAAATAGACTTAGTCTATAAAAAAATGTCTTCCAACGCAATTAAAAGTGAACATGATCTAACTTATGCGGCAATAAAAAAATAGACCAAGTCCACACTTGAGTCTATTTTGGACCCAAGTACAAACCTAAACACTCATCATTTATTTCTAATTTAATTTTTCTTTTAATAAAGGAAATATATTAGAGCATTTTTATTAGTTGGCATGTATACTAAACTTAGTATTTTATTTTTTGCATTGAATAGTTTTTGAATTTTTTAACTTGAGTTTGTTCATGTCATTTTATATACCACGTATGTAAAATTAGACCCAATGCATTGTGGGTGCTCTGCTGAGAGTTGAGTTGGACTATATTAAGTTGAATTTTGAGTAAAGAAGTGTCAAAGTTTTTCCCCTCAATCAAAACCGATTTTAACATGTAATCAATCGTCTTCTAAATCACTTAACTCAAGTACGGCACAACCCAATAATTTCTTGTATATTGGTAGGCTCAATCCAAGAAAATGGTGGCCCAATTAATATTTGGACAAGCCCAACTTTGTGGATATACACGTAGTCTGGGCCCACCTCCACATACAACACTCTTGTTAGGTGCAAAGTTCAGGACACAAGGGTAATTTGCTCAAGTCTATATTTATGGGAAATTTTTATGTATCCTACACAACTATGAAAATATTGAAAATTCCTCTATATTTATCTCACCCCAAAAGTCAAAGGGTAATCCTAGACTTAGACCTAAACCAGTTATTTTAATAAAAGTGGTTGTTGACTTTTCGTCAATGTTACACAAAAAATTTGATCTCCAAATAGAAAACAAGCAAACAGTAATTAATCATCTACATTTCAAATATATAAAATTTGGTGTAATTGGTGTATGATCTTTTCATTATGTGTTTTTCCTATGTGCATTTAATCAAAACCGACCCAACTCTTAAAATCTATATATATATAATGAGAATTAACATTTTTCAAAAATAGTAAGCAAAAAAATAGGGAACATTAATTGCATTCCATTTTTTATATGTTTTTTTAATTTTTTTTAATAAAAAATCAAGTAGCATTTAATGCTAGCATAAATCATGGGATTTGTTATATAGATGCATATTTAAATTTCAAACTTCAAACAAAACATGCCTAAATGTATTTTGAATTTTTTAGGAGAAAAATTTAACAAACACGTTGAAGATTTCATACAATACATATATTTATATATATTATCTCAACATATAGGTTAATTAGTTTCATATCTAAACAATATATATTTAAACAATATATAAACAAATATAATAATTTGTCGTACAATACAGAAAAATATATAAACAATATATTTATATACAAATATAATAACAATACAAACTATATATAAACAAATATAATAACTTGTCACGCGTATATTTCGTACAATAAATATATTTATATATATTTTCTTAACATATAAGTTAATTAGTTTCATATTTAAATAATATATATTTTAGGAACTTAAAGATTCATAACATTACTGACGTCATGTATATTTATAATATATTGTCACATACATTTTACTACAATTGGTAATTTTTTAAAATTATTCGAATAACTGGAGGTTGATTTGTAATTTAAATTTCAAATTCATTCAAACATTTAAAGGAAAGTATCATAAGCAGATTTTTTTGATACATTTCATTTTATCTCAACTTACATATAATCATTTCTGAATGATTTGTTTCTCATAACATCGGACAGAATTACTAATTGCATAGAATTCAATTATGATTTCGAATTTATATCACGGATGTTTAGTAATTGCATAGAATTTCAAAGATGTTTATTTATTATAAAAAAAATTCTAAAAAAATATTTGTGTATATTTTGTAAAATGTTTGTACAAAATGTTTTACTTTAAATTTATTTACATAATTTAAATTAATTACATTTATAAATAATATGAACATACATTAAATATTTTAATTATATAAAACAAAAAGAAGAAGAAGACTACATATATAACTTGCATAAATAATAATAATGAAATTATATTACAATAAATTTTATAATAAAATAATATAAGTATTATACGAGGAACAAGATTATGTAAAATTGTTATTTTTCTTATATCAAGGAATATATATATATATATAATGAAATCAAATTATATTATTATAAACATGTGAGCGAGATAATATATTAATTAATTTACGGGTTTGCGCTACCAGACTCAGGTTTAATGTTTCGACAAAAAAAAAAAAATGACGTTGATGAAAAAATGTAAAAAAATAAATATCACACTCTATTATTTTTTAGGGCTAAATGGACAAGCCCTATGGTTCACTCATTCAATATCTCCCGTGAATCGCACGAGCTACTTAACGGACAAACTCTGTGGAAATGACTCATTTAATACTTATGTCCCGTGCATCGCACGGGCTAAGTACTAGTGGATATAATAATTCATAAAATAATTTATGATGGCTTACCAACCGAAGTTATGAATTTTAAAACCAAAATCAACCACATAAATTGAAAAAAATGAAACCAATAACCCAATTTCATGTTAACAATCGAACTAAAATTACATTTCGAGTATTTGACAACTCATCTCAACCATCAATTGAGTTTGCACACTCCTAAATCTCAATAATTAACTAGTATCCTAAATTCAGCTAGAAATTTTGATCGACGATTTTGCCACAGCTACAATATTCTTTTGGTAGCTGTTTGACATCAGTATAGACCTATCAGTTTGTGGATAGACCCGTGTCTATCAAAACACATTCGCTATCATATTTGGTTGGTAGGCCTGTAAACAACCCGAGCCGAGACGAGCTTGAACTCTTAACGATCCTAGTCAAGCTCGACTCATTAAATAAACGAGACTGAAATCGAGTTCGAGCTCGGCTAGTTTATCACTAATAACAAGCCGAGTTCGAGCCGATCTCGAACTCTAACGAATCGAACTATAGAAAATTATATAAAAATTATCTTTTTGGGTCTTGGTTCTGCTCGTTAACCAAACGAGTTGCAAATGAGCTCGAGCTCGGCTCTCTTATCAAACGAGCCGAGCCGAACACGAGCCGAGCTAGGCTCGTTTAATTTAACAACACTATTGGTTGGTCAAAATCAAAATTGTAGCCGTTTGAGACCCGTGTCTACTACTACTATATTGATTCCACCATCATCATTTGGTTAGATTCTTGATATCCTTACCTTAGACTTCACCCATCATCATCTCTACAAACATAAGCTAATAGAGGTAGGAGGACAACACAAAACAACGTTCATCAACATTTGTATTATTATTATTATTGCTTGTCCAAAAGCAAAACCAGCAGCAATGTGAATGAATATCTATCTCTAAGGACACACACACTCCACAACAAAACAAAACAGCAGCATAAAATTGACCACTGATTTTAGGCCCAAGGCGTGGGAAACACCACTCCTTTTCTTTCTCCATCACCTTTTCTTTTTTCTCTTCACTCACTCACAATTTCAAACCCCAAAAGCCCGCCACCATCATTCAAAATTCCTCTCATCACTTAAACACCCTTTTTCCCCACTGTTCTTTTTTAGCCCCTCACTTTCAAAATTCACGACTTTTCCCTTTNGTTGGTTTTCTTGAAATCGAAACACACTAATGTCCGAGGGTTGCTTGCCGAGCGTGCTTCGCCGAGTCCTCTGCTTTGGGAGTCTCCCGACTTGCGCCCTCGACTGTTTGGAAAAGGTCGAAAATGAAAAGTTGGATAGCTCGTTTGATCCCAGCTCTTGTGGGCCCACACCTGGGCTCGTGGCTCGACTCATGGGATTGGAGTCTCTTCCGCTAGTCGAGCGAAGCTCATCCGGAAATTCCCGGGATTCGTGTTGTGGTTTGGGGATTCCGATTACTTACCAAGAGGATGAAGATGAAGAATTCTATATTTTCAGCTTCGAGTACCCGAGGAAGAGGAACAAGAAGAAGAAGAAAAGGAGAGTTAGTGGAAATAAAGATGATTTTTGTCGAGAAAGTGGGAGAAAAAAAGAGGCGACAAAAACCGAGTATGGAACAGAGGATGGTTCGGAGAATTCGAGCCCGAATTCTGTTCTCGAGTTTGTGGAGTTCCAGGCTGATGATGATCGACAAGCTTCTTGTTCAGGTTTTGTTTGATCATTTTATTGAATTTAGTTATTTCAACATGTCTTTAGCGCTTTATTATTATTATTATTATTATTATTATTATTATTATTATTTTTTATAAGTTTGCTTTACGAATGCATAAAAACAGGGGATGATGATTCAAGAATGTCGAATTTAAGGATGAGAAGGACACTGTCTGAGGAGCTCGAGAGATGCGAAAAATCCGGGAAAAAGTTGGCGGTTGGCGAAGAGAAGTTGAGGAACAGATATGAGATTAGTGTTTGTGGAGGAAAATGGAAAGAGATTATTGGGGAAGAGGTGATAAAAATGAGGTGGGTAGGAGATGAAATACTTAGAAATAAGGAGCATATGAAGGAGATTGGTAGAGATCTTTCATGTGAAATTCTTGATCAGCTTTTGGATGATCTGCTTATTAGTTTAGTAGTAGCTTGAATGATTCTTCACAGTTTGTGTATTAGTTTTGTTTTAAACCTCTCAGTGTAAACCTTTCTCCAAGGTTTATTATAGAAATAACAAAATCAATACTACTACCACTACAATGAAATTCCCTACTCATGTACAAATTATCATGAATAATTAGAATATAGGGAAATACTACGGTCCCGTTACGGTCCCATCCCGTCAAGTGTTTAAACCGTTGGATTATCTATCTTATACAAACTACATGTGATCCAACGGTTAAAACACTTGACGGGATGGTACCGTAACGGGACCTTAGCATTTCCCTTAGATATATGGTTCTTGGGTTTACTTTTTTTTTTAATTTTTTTTTCNTAGGGGAAGTTGTGGAGGAAAATTATTTTCTCCCTTTGTCTTTACCGAATAATTCTGTTCGGTTCAGTTTTGCTTTCGATCGGTTTTGATTCGCTTCAGTTTTCAGCTGATTCGAGTTTCCGAAGAAAACTTAAGGTACAAAAGAAAAGAAATAAACTTCTTTTCGGAGTGGCAATATTGGAAGACCAAAAATGTCATTATTATGCGAATTGCCACTATTTTTGCAATTAGTTAGGATACGGCCCAATGGGCCAATCCCTGCCCAATGTTGCTTGCCCATCAAGGTTTTTAAATTAAACCATGTCCAGTCATTTTGCGTGGTATGAGAATTTCGATTCAAACATGGAGCAAAAGTCGTATTTTATTTCTAACGACAATCGCACACTAGCAAATCCCTAGCCGCCTCTCGATGTGGTGCTCTTTCGTATTTGTATGAGGTGGCCCTGCCTTCGCCATTAAAAATATTTATAATAATTCATAGCTCATAAGTACTAGTATGTATTATGTAATTAGTATTTTCAAGAATTTGTCCACATATTTAGCAAACATATAAATTATAATATTCTCGTGTTGATACATAATTATTTCGGTAAAAGTATTAGACTATAAGGTATACTTTATTATATTTCAAGTGTTTGAGTTAATTAATTATTAGTCAATCTAGCATAATATATATCCTATTCTAATATTTATAGTTCATATAATATTGAATTTCTTTATATTTCTTACACAAAATACATTATTTTAGATTTTAAATTTGGAGGAATGGATGCAGTCTCTGTCTCATTGGGTAAGTGCACTTTAAGAGAGTGAGTATAATTATATCTTAGTAAAAAAAAATATCTCAAAAATTAATTGATGATGAACAAAGTAACTAAAACTTCTAAATTATGCTCATCTTATATAATTGGTTCGTGTAAGTCTACTCACAAATGATTTCCCAATACATTATTATATAAGTCAATAATTACAAGTCATTATATCCTAGATGTTTTCTATCGATTTTGCTATGAAGTCAATAGTTGGCTCCATAATGGAGCAAACTTTTTATATACAACAAATAAACGTACCATATTCTCTGATTACTTAAATAACACTAATATAATTTTATTAATATGATAAGTTTATTTGTTGTATATAGAAGGTTGGCGCCATACCAAAACCGTGTTTTTTATATCATTTTTAATTATATATGTGGTGTGTGTATGTGTCAAGTGTTTAAATAGACTAATGACATCATACATACCATTTATTTATTATAGTATCTGAATAAAACATTAATACGATAAATTAAAATAAGAATATTTGTTTTGTGTGTCCCTAGCCACTTGAGCCCCAAATCCAATCTCCATCTTCCTCACTCCCTATATTTGCCCTATCTCTCTATCCTCCAATTTCCCAAATTTCTCTTGCCCAACCAAAAAAAACCCTAAATCAGAAACTCAATCGATCCATCCCCAATCCAACCATGGCCGGAAGTGGAGTCGTGACCGTATACGGAAACGGCGCAATCACCGAGACCGCCGCCAAGCAGTCCCCCTTCTCCGTCAAGGTCGGCCTCGCCCAGATGCTCCGCGGCGGCGTCATCATGGACGTCGTCACCCCCGAGCAGGCCCGCGTCGCCGAGGAGGCCGGCGCCTGCGCCGTCATGGCCCTTGAGCGCGTCCCCGCCGACATCCGCGCCCAGGGCGGCGTCGCCCGCATGTCCGACCCCCAGCTCATCAAGGAGATCAAGCGCGCCGTCACCATCCCCGTCATGGCCAAGGCCCGCATCGGCCACTTCGTGGAGGCCCAGATCCTGGAGGCCATCGGCATCGACTACGTCGACGAGTCGGAGGTCCTCACCCCCGCCGACGAGGCCAACCACATCAACAAGCACAACTTCCGGATCCCCTTCGTCTGCGGCTGCCGCAATCTCGGCGAGGCCCTCCGCCGCATCCGCGAGGGCGCCGCCATGATCCGCACCAAGGGCGAGGCCGGCACCGGCAACATCATCGAGGCCGTCCGCCACGTCCGCTCCGTCATGGGCGACATCCGCGTCCTCCGCAACATGGACGACGACGAGGTCTTCGCCTTCGCCAAGCAGATCCAGGCCCCCTACGACCTCGTGATGCAGACCAAGCAGCTCGGCCGGCTCCCCGTCGTCCACTTCGCCGCCGGCGGGGTCGCCACGCCGGCCGACGCCGCCCTCATGATGCAGCTGGGATGCGACGGCGTGTTCGTCGGGTCCGGCGTGTTCAAGAGCGGGGACCCGGCAAGGAGGGCCCGGGCCATTGTCCAGGCGGTGACCCACTACAGCGACCCGGAGGTGCTTGCTGACGTTAGCTGCGGCCTGGGCGAGGCTATGGTGGGGATCAACCTCAACGACGAGAAGGTGGAGAGGTATGCAAATAGGTCCGAGTGAACCAAAACGGGTTGGGTCGGGCCGGTGTTTGGATAACCATCAACCTTTTTAAAAGAAAATTTATAATAATACAAAGCTTGCTGCTGTTCTGTTGTTGTTTTCTTTTTCAGGTACCAACCTTGTCTCGGTTTTGAAACAGTATTTATGTCTGTTTATTTCTTTTTAATACTTTCAATTGGGAATTTTGATGAATGGTAATGTCTTTACCTAAAAGTTACCTTTCCCTCATTCGATTCCTGTTTTTGTTTGCCTTCATGTGTAGTGATGGTTTTTTTAGCATTTGTGGTGGTAATATCGAATACTATGGTAGAATTCAATTTCTCAAGGTTGGATCTAATAGGTTTTAGTGTGATGGATGGTTAATATTCTATATGGAATCATGTAAATGATGGATATCACTCATCACACAGTTGGTTTTGTGAGTGTTAGTTGTTGAAGTTCCTTTGCTTTAGTTGGATAATTTCAACATCACATCATAAAAGTGGAAGGCTTTATCCTTACATGTGGAAAGGTCTTTCTTACCCACTCACTGATTCATGTGGTTTTAGCCGTCAGATACATATGGGTGTTATTGATCCGAAGGTTAAAACCTCCCGTGAGAGAATTGCCCACGGTTAGGATGAAATTTACCCCGACATGTCCATAAGGTTTTCACTTTTCACCAAAAGATCATAAGGCTTGTCCTATTTTTTGAACAAAATAGTTATTTTTGAAATGTGATGCTGCTTTTCCTTCGATGTAGTTGGAACTTGAAGGCTTTGAAGCAGATTATTTAAAACATTATAAAAGTTTTTTTTACTGTACATCTCCAAATGTACAACTAATATATTAATTGGAGCAGGAGAATCTGGAAGTAATGAGAATAGGAGTACATTATTTCTTGTCAAACCCCATGTCCTTTTATTCAACTTTTATTCAAAAGTATTCTGAATAGGTTAGTAGGAGTATACACGAATTTTAAGAAGGAATTATTAATGTTAAGTAACAACATGTTATATTATATTTATAGGGTATTATTGTAACTTATCAGCAATATCAGTGTTAGAATATGCACGAGCGCAACAGTCATATTTTACTCTGTTAATTTCTTCTTCTTCTTTTGTTATGTTAGAATATGCATAAGCACAACAGTCATATTTTACTCGGGCAATTTCTTCTTG